TAACCCAGTCACCTCCCCACCCGGACTTTGACTTTCAAGGATAAAGGTTTTATTTTAAAAAGCCTGACCCGTATAACCTGAACGTGTGATTATTAGGAGGCAAATAAGTAAAAGATTATGTGTTGTCTAAAAAAAGTTACCTTTTCTTGACGTACATCATGCGTGTCTCTGTCCTACAAACTAGACAGGGCCTTCTGCTGGAGAAAGTTCCAAGGCTAATAAAGCCCATTATTGCTGAAATGACGTGGCACCGGAGGCACTCACCAACAAACTTTCTTTGACTTAGACTTTTGCTGTTTTTCCAGCACAGGTATTTATTTATTACACGTGAGCCACGGGAAGCAGCCAGGGCTCCAGCTGTAGACAGCTGGATCCACGGGTACAGCATTTTCCATTACCGCACAGGAAACTGATGGAACAGCTCCTAGCTTCACAGGAAGGGTCTCCAGCTCTGAACACCACCACTGCCTGATCTACCTCTGATAACTACCATCAGTCCAACTACTTGCTTTATTTTTTTCAGAAGCTGTAGCAGCTTTGGAATAAACACAGGAGAAAAGCGATAGGATATAAGTATTTTTCTGACTTGACTTCCTAAATGTTTGTCACACGAGCTTAATCACAATAATGCAATTCCAAAATGAAGGCAAAGAAAACATCATTTCTGGCACAAAACTCCATCACCATCTTGATGGAGAGGAAAAAGAGGACTAAGGATGACAGTGTAAAAGCAAAGACATGTCTGTAGTGAATTGTGTGATCCTTTACAGGGTGCTTTTCAGACTCATTCAAGATTGTATGTAGAGAATAGATACTTTACTGAACAACTTTCAAGTTTATTTATATGTTGCTAAAAACTAAAACTATTTTTGTGTACCATTTTGCACTTAAAAATGATGGCATCCACCCTCAAAATCCATAATTGCACCACAGCAAAGCTCAAACAAAAGCTGATTTCATAAGGAAGCGATGCCAGGAATAATTCTGATTAGTCTTTTGAGGAGGTATGGACACATGCAGAAGCATGATGCATTGCTGTTCCTGGAAGTAGGTGCAGCATCCTGCAGAAACCACCTCTCTGGCTATTCAATACAGGCAGCCAGCTCCTGGTTTCATCCATTTGTATGCTTCTCACCACAAAAACACAAGCACTTACTACTGAAAAAAGCAGATATTTCCATCATCTCCAACCACTGCCAGATTCATTATCTTCCAGCTAGTCTTTCAAATGCCAGCTCTCAAGTCAGTCTACCGTTGCAGTCTCCCATCCTAGAGGCCCCCCAGAGGTGCAGTTCCCTTGTTTAAGCATTTCTCCGTAACTCAGAGAGGCAGAGGGAAAAGCGATCCTTGTGGGATGCCCTCACCACCTGGAAACATCAGAGATGGGCCATCGCACTGCAGAGATGATGACACGTGGGGCCCTGCCACACTACCCAACACCCTCCTCCCTGAGCAGCCAGGCCCTTTGAAGCACGATATAAAAAGAAAAAAAGATGGGTGTGTGTATACATACACGTGTATAGGTTTATAAACTCGGTTGTTAAAATCAGAATGCTAATGTAGAAGGCAGAGAATGGTAACAGCGGTAGCTCAGAGTGTGGAAAACCTATTCATCACCTCCCATACATTACAGAAAGCCAATGTGTGACACAGATCAGCCTGCAATGCGTTGCATTCCTCCTATGCTGAGATTCTCTCTTAGCAGATATACAGAAAATTAAACGCCAAGCTAACTCCAAAGCACCTTCTAAAGGCACAGTTTAATTGCTCTGTGCACGTAGAACAGACATAGACACAAACTTTACACGTCAAGCCTCCACCCATTCATCATATCTAATATAATTAATGAATCTCAAGCTTTTTTCTTCTGCTATTAATAAAAAATTAGTCTGATGAATGGCAAAATTGCTCTAGTCAGCTATGCATTTCAGTATATACAATGGCAGTTTTATGTAATATCTATATTTTCAATGAAATTCTTTAACTAAAATGTTAAAAGGATACTCAGGAATAACTGTTTTCCACTGAAGGAAAAAAATACATGCATGTAATAATTTGGTATTGTGTTACAAAAGCAGAAGATGGATGGCAGGTGTTCTCTGAAACTTTTTTCCTAGTCCAATTCTTTAGTGCATAAAGGGGAGTGCCTGCTAATTTTAGGGAAAGCTTGCAAAAAAAGAAAGGAGGGGAAAAAAAAAAAGCAAAGAAATCCTTGAAGTACTTGAGCGTGCTAAAACAGAATGGCCAAATGTACTAGGCACAGAACACTGATGAGTAAGTGAAGCAAATTAACCTTAAGGACTACAGAAAAATGGAGCTTTACCCTCTCCAATCCCCTCCAGTATTTCTGAAGTTGTATTTTTATACAGTGCTTTTCATTCAGGTATCACAATGCAGTTAAGAGGATAAATATTTGATCAGTTTATCAGAGAGCGGACAGCACTACGTGGTGTCACAGGGCTGGGGCTGATGGCTGCTGCAGTTCCCATGATGGAGTTAGTGCGGTGAAACATCCTCCTTTCCCACACAAGGTAACCTCGCGCTAGCATTAAGTGTTGCCAGTGCTTTTATAGAAGTCTCATTCATTTCTCCTTGGAAAACTAGCTCCTTCCCTCTGATTTATGTCTGATTCATATGGGAGACTTGAGTCTTTTACAGATACTTGAAAAATTGCAGACAAAATATATTACTATTTAAACAGACTAATCACTGAAGGCATAACTAATTGTTGCAAAAGAAAGAGACCATGAAGTCCCTGCGAAGTACCAAAATAATTTAACTGTACGCATCTCTTACAATTTCAGTTACATTAACTTGCCACCACCATTATTCCACCAAAATAATCTCAGACACCACAAACGACTCCAGTTTGTTCAACACACTCCAGTAGAGCATTTAGTAGAGCAGTGCTCACATCCTGGCTTTACGGAAAGGGAGCAGGAAGAGGGGCAAACTAGTAACTGGATTTTTAAAGGGTTAAGAGCATCTTCAACCACTAGCCTATATAATTGGGGGGGATAATGACTTGAAACTGATGAGCATACTTTGAATTTGACTACAAGAAATTATTTTACAGCATGGTGCCTTGGTTTACTGCAGGTGAGCATCATGCAAAAAATTGCCATCAGCTGAACCATTTGACTTCCGTAGCTTCAGCTGGTTTCTATGTATTTACAAAGATTTTATTCTAGATTTGCATTATTCTAGGTCTGTTTTACTGCAGGAAAAAAGTAAATGGCTCAGTTCTACTGAAAAAATGAAGTAAACTTAAATGTCTTTGAGAAACAGATTATCTTTTAAAAGACAACGTAACTAGTGCACTCTTATTTAATATGCAAGAAGCAGACACAGAATCTGCATTTTAGGTTTAACCAAGACGGTACCAATTTGCCATATTGTCAACATTTACCAAGAAAAATGTGCCAGCACACAAAAGCTGGCAGTCCCAGCAACTCCTAAGCATGTGAGCTGTCTCCTCAACATCAGTTACACAAACTTAAGTCTCTGTAGAATCCTGCTCTAATTAGGGATTTGGTTTTTATTTGTTTGTATTAGGCACTTTATTCTCTCCCGTAATTTTCACAACCACAAGTAGTTTTGCATACAAGGAAATTATGAATACATTTTTTTTTTAAACTTTATTAAATTACTCAGTAAGAACCCATCTCCACACAAGTGTTTCATTTCTGGATAGCAGAGGTATAATACATGAGCCACAGGTGAGTGCATTACCCCTCCCTTCCCCCCAGCTTCCAAGAAATAAAACAGCATGTATAATACACTCCTGTTACTAGGGTACTCCAAACAGATTGTTTGTAAGGTTATTTTTTAACTGGAGAAAAATAAAAAGGACCAACAGTAAAAAGTGTCTTGTTCTGCATATGGATGTTCTTCACTGCAACATTCGAACACCTTCTTTCTTGCAATGCATGGCGTGGCAGAGGGTTCAGGAAGCAATGGCAGTGGAATGCATTTGCACAGGCATCGGGCATCGTTATGATATAAAGCCTGTGACTTCCCTAGAGTTAATCAGGCAATCAGAATGCAAAAAAGGCCGTGCGTCTGTTGAAAATTCTTACACTTCAAAGTGCATGTCCACAAAAAATTGGCAACAAGAGGAGAAAGTGAATTCTAAGACCTACTGAGGAGGCAGAGCAGTTAGCATAGTGCAAATACTGAAAATAATACAAGTTTGTCTATTACTTATGCTTGGTGTTAATTTATGTTATCTGAAAATTACTAGCCAAGCTTTTTACTCAGATGAACTGCTGCAAATCCATTCAATTAAATAAATTTTATGCCAGTAGTGAGCTTGGCTCAAATCCTTTAGTACTTAAATTTTGATTGAAAATATGCTGTATTTCAAGTGTGTTTTGACTCTGAAAAGTGAGTAGAATGGCATAAAGGATCTTCCCATGTCTATCATTTTTCAGCAACTGTGCGTAATGAATTCACCAAGTTTACAAAGAGAAACTTTCAATACATAGCTACACAAATTTATTTGGGTTGAGAATGCCAGTGTGCATTTCTGCTTTAGCTATCAGCACCTGTAAGATTCTGTAGTTGTAACTGAATTGTGTTAGGTTTATTTGCTCTAAGAAAGGAAGTTGCCTTTTCCTAAAGGCATTGCTACTTTAAAAAGGAAGCAAGAAGTCTTAGACAACTGACAGACAAGCAGGACATTGATCTAAATAAGAAGATGCCATTTTTAGAGAGACTGTTCTGACCATAATCACACTTTGAGTGCAGAATTGATTAAAAAAAACAAAAAACCCTGGTGGAAGACTCACTATTGGATGCATTATTGATCAACCATCTATAGAAGTAATATGGCAAAGGAAAATTACTTTGCAGAAATCTTTACAGATCTAGTTGAACAAAAATTGGAGAATCCTTCATTTCTTGGATTATATGCATACCCCTGTGAACTGAAGCACTATAATTTACAAGTGTAAACTAAAAGTATTAGGAAAGTGAAGTAAAAAGCGTATCACTCTACCTCCACCAGAACATCACTTTATTGTTTATCTGTCATCAACAATGTAAAACTCTACTAGATACTCTATCCTGGTTTTTAAAAAGGTAAAGATTACATTGGATTAGCTACGTTGTACGAAAGAAACTACAGCAATCACAGTAGAATGAGATTGGAGGGACAATTTGAATTACAAAAAAGTGTACACTGCAAGCAGAGGGAAGTGCACATTAAATCAAATGTCTGTAGGATTCATTACTTTTAAATGCACAGTGACAATTTTGAGAAACTGTACATAATAGAATCACAGAAATGACTTTAAAATAACCAAAATTACACTTTGTGTTTGACCTTCCAACTCATAAGTAATCATTGATGTTCTATATTTTCAGTGCTTTTGGAAAATTTGTTTACCAAACAAAATTTAAGTTGTTAATTTGACTAAACTGTGAAGTAAAAGGATTGAAACAAAAAGTATATTGGAAGTACGCCTAACCTACAAGAATAAGCCAAGAGGGGTGTATGCAAGGAGAGGCTGGGAGGGAGGAGAGAAAGGAAAGAGGAAAGGGAGGAGATAACAAAGGCTTTTTCTTCTATCTCAGAAGTTCTTCCAATGCAGCGTATATCTGATGTACAGCTCTTCGGTTTCAGTCCATTTCTGAAGTTCACATTTTGTAGCCTTTTTCCGTACTAACTGGTCAACTCAACCAGCACTGTTGCCACGCAACAAGAGTAACAAGAATCTGAATGCATCAAATCTTCCCTTGCTGTGATTTCTTCACGGCCCCATTTTTTCTGTTTTTCTTTGAACAGGGTTCGGTGTTTCCTGAATTGTTCACAGGGTCAGGTGGAATTGAGTTCCAAATCACTCTGCGGTTTGTAGCATCCCGATTTCTTTCTGCAGCTAACCCCCGGACACGTTTGCAGTTCTTCCATAGCAGAAAGACAAACCGTGTTGTCCAAGCGGTGAGCTTTCACCCTTGACCGTGGGGGTTGCAGACCATTGTGTTTAGCGTATCCCTGAGTGCTATCCTGCAGGATTCACTTCCCAGTGCACCGAGATTTCCTAGGTTTCCTCAGATTAAGCCCCAGTATGCATCATCACCGACTGTGGTGCGGCTATGGATGCCTGAGGCCGAGTTGATTCTGGTGGATGTCTGACCTCACTGAACCAGACTGATCTGCTTTCTCCCTACTCATACCCAGGCAGTCCAACCTTCATACAGCTGAGCCAAGTTATCTAGATTAGTTGCTTCCTTAATCACAAAGTCAACCTATTAAAAAGGTCAAACAAGTAATTAAAAATAAGGTAGATTTTTAGAGTGGTTAAGTAATCTTAAAACTTACTGCTGAATGTCACCTGCAAATTTCAGTGAAAAAAGCCTATAGTAACTGTAACCTTAATCTTACATAACTTTGTGTAGTCCACATAAGAAATAGGAATTTGTACTGGAGGAGCAATAAAAAAAAAAACCCACAAAAACCACACATCATCTCATTCATAGCCCCTGTCTGGAAAATTCCCCAGTTTATATCAATATCTGGGTTCACTGACTCAACTTCCCAGAGACAGGAGCATGGTTATGTTATGCCGGTACACACAGACAAGTTCTGTCCTTTGGACAGATGTACAGGTCTCATGTTCCCCCTGGGTATCAACAGCTGTATAACAGATGTTAGCTTACTGATATACAAAAGTCAATTTTATCTGATTCATGAGTTTGTATAAGTCTATGATACAGGAAACAAAAGCATTTGATTAAAAAACAAATGCAGCAATACAAGGCAGCAGCATACCTTGATTTGTGTTGTAATATAAATCACACATCTCAAAAGGGAACTCAATTCACAATAGGATTTTAGTCTTTATGGCATACTTCTGCATGCATACACATGGGCTTACTACCAAATATTTAAAGCAGGGACTGATTTAAAGCAGGGACTGGCACTGGAACTTTATTATTTTTAACTCACCTGTTCAGCAACAGACATTCTCCTGTTGGGATCCACATCTCTGCCCTCTAACTTGGCTTTGACCCGCTTCCACACGCTAACTGCATATGAATTCCTTTCCTGCACGGCTAAAGGTACAAAATAAAATTAATTCAATTTTACATTCCTGCACAGAAACCCACTGAGGTGTTTTTGGTTTTTTTGTTCTTGCTAGTGGTGGGGTTTTGGGTTGTTCGGGGGTTTTGTTTGTTTGTTTAAGCCCTGTATTTACCTTTTCCTGTTTTAGGGTCCCTGGCTGTCTTTTTGGGACTACAGACAACACTTTTGCCAGTTCCTGGGACTGTGCTTGGAGGAGTATCTGCTGATGTGGCAAGATTTTTCTGAATTAGCTTTCTTGCATTCTGCGACATCACCTCTGGCTGAGTTTTCTGCCCTGTATTGCTACGTACAGCTGTAAAGAAAGTTTTAAAGTGCTTAAAGTATTCAAAGTAACATATTATAGATGCAAGAAAAAGCACCATTAAAGGTGTATCAAATGGAGCTATCAGGACTTCAGTACAAATGCATTTTAAACTTGTATTTTAAACCCTGCACCCATTCTTCTCTCTTCAATCTTTGTTTTCTAATGTCTTTCACTTCATAAACAAGAGGTTTTGTTCCATTGCAAAACATTTATTTACATTAAGCAAATTTTTATGGGCTCTCTTAACCTCTAATTCTATCATTTTGTGTGGCAGTTATAAAATGCAATTCTTGTTCTTGCGAGAAATCAGGAACCTGCACTTAGTCCAAATACTGAGAGTAGAATAATCCTTTAAGTAGAAGGGAATCCATGCTCATGAGAAACCTTATTAATGTTTTTAACTGTAAAGTAATGAAAATTTTGCAAGCATGAATGCATTTATAGGGTTTCAGAATTAATTCCATAAATTTTAATACTAATTTCAACAGAAATTACAGTTGAGTCAATATACACAACAATGCGTTCCATGTATTCTAGGCTTTGTGGAGTAAATACAGACCTGAAAGGCTACAATCAAGCAGTCATTCAGTATTGTATGCTGAATGACTTGAATTTTATAGGCTTTTATAATCTTAAGAGATTAAATGTTGAAATACAAACAATAAAAGTTATGATCAATAATATCAGTATTCTAATATAAATTCCTGATGTTTTAATGTTTGTACTTTTTCAAGTATTACCTGCAGCAAACGTTGGCTGATATGTAGCAGCTGATGTTGGGCTTGAGCATTCATTTGCTGTATCCGTGACCAAGGGTGATGCAAAACCCACTAGATTATTGTAGACACTAGAAGACATAATGGATTAGCCTCCTGAAAATTCATTATATATGTATCATTCATAATAAATATTCACGCAACTACTTGACTTCCTGAAAACACACAAGTTATACATCAAAATTTTGCCAAAAAATTTCTGCATTTTAAGACAACCACCATGTATGTACCCCATGCTGTGTTTCTGCTATATACAAGTAGATAGCAAAGTACCTTCAACCGAGAGAAGGTGATGTTCTTACCTTTGGCTCTGTGTTTTTAGTTCTTTCAAAGTGGGAGTTATTTCCTGCAGCATTTCAACATGTTCCTGGCTGCGGACTTGACCCATAACCTGAACTAACGTAAACAAAACTGTCTGAATATTATCTTGCCATGATTTATATTCACCCAAGAACTGCCTAACACTATTCTCATAGGGAACATCTTCACCATCTGCCAAAGCTGCTTCTTCATCCTGTAACAAAGATGTGCAAAAAGGTTAACTTTGATGTATTTTGGCTAAGACAACAAAGTTGAACATTTCTTAGCCTTTTCAGCCCCTCAGTTTGTCATTTGACTACATATAACCATAAAGTTCAGTAGTTACATTTCAAGAAAATAGATTTGAAAAAGATCAAATGCTTTACTGATTAAAAACATGGAGGATTTGTAAACACAAAGAAAGTATTTCAACTGCCAAATGAGAGAAAAGGTTTAATTCAGCCAAAGCCTGATTAGCCTAACTCTAGAAATAAAGCTCTATGAATTCTCAGAGGTGAAATTAATTTTATGTCTTGAACTCCACATACATGAACACATTTCACTGTTTCTAGATACTTTAAAAAGCACAGTTACAAGTGTTATTTTTCTTAAACTATACTGACATGGATTTGAGGAATAAATTTAATAAAGTTTTAGGCATACCTTTGCCATAGCTTTCAGTAGATGTTTGACATCTCCAAGTTGCCTGTTATGACCTGTGAGCACAGTTTTAATACTATCCACAAGATTCTGAATTGTTTCACAAACTGTTTCTAGTTGCTGATCTCTTTCTGCTTGTACTGTTCTCTGTGTAGATATTTCCTGGGTCAACTGCTTGTGAGCTGAGTGAAGCCATTCAGAGCTGCCAATAGGATGTTCAAGACCAGTGCCCTAAAAATAACAGAAGCATTTTTGTATCTGTACCCAGAGATAAAATTCAATTACTGTGTAGATGCTACTGCCAAGTGTTTAGCAGCTGATGGAATAAACTCTGTAATCCACAACCCATTAGAACGTATACATAACATTCATTTAGAATGAAAGACAAAACTGAGAACTCATGATTACAGTGATTCTGCAATGTTATGTATTTTGCTTTGACCTTTACTCACCACTCTCTGAAGCAGGCGAAGCTCCAGTTCAGAGACTGAACTGTTGAACTGCGATGCAAATGAGCACATTTGTTGACAGCGTTTGAGAAGTTCAAATAATGCAGCATCAAGATTTAAGGCTTCTGCTGTTCTAGTACGTAAACTTTCAAAATGAATGATATTACTGCAGAGGAAAGTGACCTGAAAAATCAAAGCAAGGGTGAGAAAAGTTATTCCAATTAACCTATTATTCAAACTGCATTTGTTCCATACCCTTAGAAGGGGGAATTTTAAATACAGCAGTAAAGCTGCTTTGTTACAGTAGCAGTATCATTTTAAGGCCATCCAACCCTGCAGCAACTCTCTAGACCAGAACTTCAACCCAGAAGTGTTTGGTTACCTACATTTGTTCTTTAGATGCTGAGGAGGAAAGATTTTCTACATAATTTTCCAGTAGGAAATAAAAAACTAACACGCTTATCAAGTCAATAGTACTATACTTATGCATAGTACCTGACTGGCTCTTTGACTTTCTTTCAGTACAAGGTTTCTTCTTTCAGCAATAGTGGCATCAAAATCTTGCAAGACTGGTGCTAGTGCAGGATTAGCACCTCCTGCCCATTTTAAACGCTGCTCAATACTTGCTTCAAGTGCTGCTAGTTTCTCCTGCATTGGGGAAGAAAAAAAAGCCATCACAGATATGGATAATGCATACTGATACATATATAATCTTAAGCCTAACTAAGAAAAACTATGCCTATATAACACATGCAGACACATTCTTATACCCATATATATAAAACTGTGGTATTCATGATTGACAAATGTTAGCTTATGCTGTTTAAAGGTTTATTTTCAGTACACATCACAACTCGATTTAATTGTCACAGAAATAAAGTAACCTGTCCAAGTTTTAACACACCAAAAAAACAAACAAAAAACCCCAAGTTAAAACTAATCACATTTCTAGACTAAAAATTACAGAAAATCATAGGAGCCCTGAATTATTTTACAAATAATCTTCAGAAAGTTATTAAAAACATACATTCACAACTAAAAAAGAAATTAAAATTCAAGACACTAAGCAGTATTACTGATACCCAAAAGTCTAAAAAGTTGAGCCTACCCACAGCACACCAAAACCTAAACACACAGAATAATTGATCTGCCCAGATCTATAAAGGAAGCTTCTGACACTTAGCTAGTAAAATGATAGTAAGGGTGATCTAAGAAGTCAGACAAACTTAAAGAACAGGAGTATGATCAGCCTGCAGAAGGAAAGGTACTTTCACAGATTTCTATTTTTGCTCATGAAACAGATTTACTGATAATCCAGAGAAGAGTATTTTGTATGAGACAGCAAAATCAAACAATATAACAGCACACAGCAAACAGGCTGAAAGAGATCAATGAAAATACCTCTAAATTTGTGCTTCGATAGCAAGAGAAGAACATAATCTGGGAGGTGGCAGATAATTTTGCACTGTGTGCTAGAGTCACACGCCATTACGCTGCTGAACAAATTCCCCCAAAATAGTAGTACCTGAACTGTTGCGATTGAAGCTTCAATCTGACTGAGCGTATGAAGTTTTTTCTTCATGTTGGCTAAAATTGCAGAACGAGGTGGAGGAGTAACAGAAATAGCTTGTGGGCGACTGATAAGGAGATCTTCATGCTGCCACTTTAAGAAAAGAATGGGAACACTTGATTATCAATATTGCTCAGCAAAAAATACTCTGCTTCACAGACAGCAATTCTAGTATTATGGTACACTTTATAAGTAAGGGCATTTTAAAAGGGCTAGGTGTCAGAAGATGGTACCAGCACCCTTAGAAGTTCTAAATCATTACAGACTGTTGAATTATATAAGTAGTTGCAAACTATGTTTTGCTGGCTTGGATATTTATACCATTAATCAGTCATTAATTTATTAGAAATGACTTACACACATTTCTAAAGGAAAACCCATCAATATTCAGAAACAATTCACTCGTGATGCATTAAAATGAAGACAATCCCGCTTACCAGTCTATGAAGTGGTTTATTAACTGACATGGAGAAAGCCTTTACCCTTAACCTACAAATCCCTACAAAATGAAGATCAATTATACTACAACTAGATCCCAGCATACAGTTCAAGGTACACAATGGCATTTATCTAAAGCCTCAGAAGAACATTTTCAGGATTGATACTATTGCTGCTATTTATATTTTTCCATGAAGAAAACAGAGCAAGGAGACTGTTAATGCATTAAAACTTTGAAGGAAAGGTAGAAGATGACATTTGGCAACGCATACCCTCTGTTTTAAGCAATCTCCTCCCTTAAAGTCATAGTTCGTTTAAAAAAAGGGGACAATGGGACAACATTGCTAGTAAGAAAGTCAGTGAATGACTTCTTTTCTAATAAAGGACTTACTGGTTATTGGAAAAAAATATTACTGTCATGATTTAGCCCCAGCCAGCAACTAAGCAGCACGCAGCTGCTTGCTCACCTCCCCCTCGCAGGTGTGATGGGGGAGAGTGTCAGAAAAAACCTCACAGGTTGACAGAAAAACAGCTTAGTAGGGCAGCAAAGGAAAAGGAAATAACAACAACAGCAACAACGCAATATACAAAAACAAGCGATGCACAATGCAGCAATTCTCACCACCCAGTGATCGACAGCCCGTCCCTGAGCAGCAATTCCTGCCCACTGGCCAACTCCAGTTATACACTGAGCGTGACGGCTCGTGGTCGGGAATATGCCTCTGGCCAGGCTGGGTCAGTGTCCTGGCTGTGCCCCCTCCCAGCTGCCCGTGCACCTCCCCGCTGGCAGAGCATGGGAAGCTGAAAAGTCCTTGACGGAGCATAAGCTCTACAACTACTTAGCAATAACTGAAAACATCAGTGTGTTATCAACATTACTCTCATCCTAAATCCAAAACACAGCACTATACCAGCTACTAGGAAGAAAATTAACTCTATCCCAGCCGAAACCAGGACATTTACATCTATTCACCCAAAAAAGAATTTACACATTGCCACATTTGCACCTTATGAAGTAGCTAGTCTTCAGAAGCAGCTAGCTGTAACACATTTTTCCTTATGAATTTACAGAATAATTTAAAACCAAAATACTCTATCAAGTCCATTATTCTAAAGCTCATTCAATAAATATGAAGTTCTTGTGATCAGACACAGTAACTAACATTCACCTTCCACAGATGCAATTTGGAGAGAATTATCATGTGGTGTGGTCTTACCTGGAACATGGCAATATGCAACTGCACTCTCTGAAGACTGGTCTTGCAAGATGAAATACTGGTTTCAAGTCTGCGCACTAGGTCGTGCTTCTTCCATGCTGTATCGTATGAACTAGCTAACACTGTTGCCCTGTTCATGACCAACTGCGAGAACTTGCCAATTTGGATATTATGCTCCACAGCTTTCTTGCACAGGTCATCCACAGAAACTTTGCTTTCTGCTCCAAAGTCTTTAGCCTCTACCTGAGCAATAATATCAACACCCAAAGCACTGATGAAACTACACAACGTCAGTCCCAAAGCTTGATTTGGAAGGCCTATTAGAAGCTGTCGCACAAAGTCAGCTGTAAAGGCCTTGATTGGTTTGGCCATTTGGTCTTCACTAAAACAAGAGTTTCTGTAAAGGGCTTTCACATTGACAATCTGAACAGGTCCATTTACTGCATTCTGGTCTTCAAGTGAACTGATTCCTTTTAAAGGAAAGGAATAGTATTTTTGTTATAAACATTTAATGCATCTAGAAAAATATTATCAGACTTATAAGCCTAGCAAGACTACAGAAATTCATTTTTATTTTCAGCATACTTGCCATATATGAAAGGTTACATTACAGTAAAAGTGACCATCATTTTACATTGTGTCCTCAAAAGGACACGGCATGAAAAGTGGACAAAGCGATATAGAGTATTTGATAACATTTATTTACCTGACAATGTTTTAGAAAAGGTACCACAGAGTCTGAAAAATTCTTTAATTGTTTGCAGCCTCTTCAGAAAGAAAATTTCCTCTAGAACTTGCCGATTATTGTCGTCATCAAAGAAGTTAACTTGGGTGCTGCGGGCTTCCCTAATTATGTCAATCTTACGCCAAGCAACAGGTATTTCCATCTTGTTTAGCTGAGCAATGTAAAGGAAATAATTAGTTTTGTTTTTCTAAAACTTTCATGGTCCTGACTCAAAGAGTACTCTGAAAAGAACAAATCCATACCTTTTCAATCAATAAACCAAATGCAGTTTCCACTTGAGCGAACATTCCATCAAAGGCTACCAAAAGCATCTGACCAGCTGACATTTTGGGAGTTTCATCAACTGAACCATTTCTTGGCTGAATCAGCTCACCATACTGAGCATGAAGTACTCTTGAAAAAAAGAATATGTACATGGTTTTGCTTAGTCTACAAAAAATAAATAGGATTTCCTTAAACTGATTGATCCCACAGCTAGAGCAGATTGGAATTAAGTTGCATTTGAACAAGGTGAAATTTTTGCAGTCTCTTCCTATACCGCGCTGCTTATCGCATAAATCCTAATGCTGGTCCCAGAAGAACAGCTAAGGTTGCCATATATGACGGGATTGTATTAAAGGACCAGCTACGAAGCTAACTTAAAATACAGGTAGAGGATACAGACTGTACTTCCTATGAGCAAGTTATGAATAGTAAGTGATGTAAGTATCACCCTTCCTTTCTTGAAAACCAAGTACTGATTTTATAACATACACACATATAATTGACTGAATGGAGTACGGGGTAAAAAGGTGGAAGATGAGGTCTCAAGTTATATCTGAGATGGTTTAACAGCTTGCTGCTCCTGAAATGGTGCTCTTATCCTCTCCCTCCCTTATATCACTTTTGATCCTCAACTAACAGGCTGGGCAGGCTTTCCAATGGGTAAACCAGGATGAAAATTAACTTAAGAGGAAAAAAAATGTAAATTGTTTTCAACTGGTATAGCAAGCTTCATTGTACCACTGGTGGAGCCACCATAACTGGCTCCAGGGAAGCAGCAGGATCACTTCTGCTCATCAGGAAGCTTTTGAATTGGCTCAGTTGTTTACCAAGCAGTTCCCCAGAAAGTTACTGTCCCACATTACAAGATGCACAAGTCTTTTTGTTTGGATGGGGTTTTGTGTTTTGTTTTCATTTTTTTAATCATGTCACTGATTCATTATGCAAAAGCTGCTCATCAAAGCTCCTGACGAGAGGAGTGCCATGATTACAAGCTCTCCCTTTCACAGGTTCCTCCCACAAACTAATAGACCAGTTCCTATTTGTAGCATCCCTTAACTTCAAACATAAAATCACAACTACATGTTTTGGAAAAAGTTGACTACCAAAAGTCAACTTTAAGCAGGTGTAAATGTAAATTGCCACAGCTCTGTACTTCTACGTATGCATGCAGATAAATGCACACACAGAGAGGAAACGTGCACTTTAGACACTGCACTCTGCTTAAGGGTATTCTTGGGCAAGAAAAGGCTGTACTTCAAACAAATAATAAAATTTAGACAAACTAATGTTCTGCAGTCTTCATTCTCTTTCTCATAATTGAACTAAAATAAAATTATTTACCTTGCAACATCAATGTAATGAGTATGTGTTTCTTCCTCTAGTCCCATAGCTGCATTTCGTAAGTAGGCTTGAAGAGATTCAACCAATGTTTGCAAAGGGACTCCATCAGTTGTTTGTTCAATAAGATTATCCAATTCATGGAGCATACTTTCTAAAGTATACTCTCCTTTCATTAAGCACCTAAGCGCTTCAGGAAAAATGATCTGTCGGAAGTTTGAGTTCAATTCCTGTTGGGAAGTAAAAATGAAGGCATAAGAAATTTTCCCCTCTCAAAAAGTGTAATATGCAACATCTTTCTCCTTTTAGTATTACACCACCCTATGGTAAACATTATCTAAAAGATAACATGATGGTGATCAGTGAAGGGTCAAAATCTACTGATTTATTTAAATTAAAAAAAGAGGAATACATTAAACCGAAAGGTTCGACATTTGCACAATGTAGTAACAACTACCTCAATAGCATCAGCAGCAATACCTTCCAAGCATTCCTCAGCAGAGGATTAGTGTTACAGAGATCACACTTTGCAAATCAGTTTTGTCAAGTTATGTAGCTTTTCTTCTCCATTATGCAACTGTAAATGAGTGAGGTACATTATTTACTGAATTTATGATTTGCTAAACTGTTTGGACTAGGCAAGGGAAAAAGAATCAAAAACTTGCCAGATAGTGATTATTTTGCTAGAGTCCCACTCATGCCACAAAAATCAATGCAGGTAGAAAAGAGCACCTTAAGTGGCATAAAGCAATTTTCCCCAAGCAGAATGCATCAGAAGGCTAAAGGCAGCTACAGAAGGAACCAACCAATGCGCTGCCTCCAAAATGAGACAAGACGCACCAAAAAGATTAGTTATCTTGGCTGCTTAGTGAGCTACACATCTTACCTAAGAACTAACAGGGAGGACGATCATATGTGGGTGAAAGATTTTAGCTGCAATGCAATGAAATTGCATGCGTATTTCTAAAAAATTTCTGAAATGTTAATTCTTTGAACAGCGAAGAAACAAAGTGACAAAAATCTCAATGCACTTACACAGGTTGGTAGGAAAATATTTTTCAAATACAGTGGAATCAAAAGCCTGAAAAAGCTATTTACACCAGCCACGGTTTATAAACCACCTAAGTGTTTAGCAGATATTTTACTCAAGCTGCCACTAATGTTTTTTTGTTTGTTTTATTAAAGTGAAAACATTTCTAAATCACAAAATTATAAATGCATTTTTCTCCTTCCCAATCTTGGGGATAGGTGCCTGTAATACAGGTTTTCAGAATTTGTTTCAAACTACTTGTTTCAGGTGAAAATAAGTAAAGGTTAGCAGGAGCAGAAAACAGAAAGAGCAGAGATTAAAGGGTTTGGAAGTTGTGCTGGACTGCCAGCAACAGAATGAGAACATGAAAGCAAGACATGAAGCTAGTATGTCTATAAATCTGAAACTAAGTTCTTTCTCATCGTTACTTACTTGACAGCAATTTTTACAATTTGTCCTGTATAAATCAAAATTATTTCTTTCAACCAATGAAAGTGTAGATAGCAGTAGTAAACACCTGTTCAGCTCAGCCAAATAAAGCAACCAAGAGTAAGGTCCAACAACAACAAAAACCCGACCTCTGCAGCATCATAAACAAATATTTAGCTGTCTCAGGCAGAAGCTGTTTAAGGAAGAATGGCTTACCTGAAGCCTTATAAGATTGGGGCAAGGAACAAAAAAAAGTAACATAAAAGCAAGCATCACCTGAAGTGAGATATATACTCCGTTAGCTAAATGAACAGCTTCTGATGCTTCAATTGGATTAGGAATATCTAAGTCCTGGGGTACAAGATGACACTGCTTCAGCAACTGCACTAGGCATGTAACATTCCCACTCATGCTGCAAAGCTCCTCCAGGAACCAGGCTCCATCTCTCGAAGTCAAATCAACCAGTTGCTCTCCAGCACTAGATGCTGCACCCTCCATCATCAGGTTTCGCCTAGATGGAGTACGACACTTAGTTAGACAACCTGCCTGCTATTGCATTCTCCACGTAATTATGTCACTTGAATATTCCTTTTATATTGCCTCAAACATGAACACATACAAAAAAATGTCACAAGAGGCAACTCACCTCGTCAGTGTACAAAGAGCAGAGATGATAACGCTCGCTAAGCTCAGTGAGCCTTCCTCTCCATTTTCATGAAGGAAAACTTTTATGCAACGTTCAATTTCTTTCAGCTGCTCTTCACAAACAGGTACAGTAACTGCCTCCTGTTTCAAACGCTCCACCTGCCTGATAAGTCTGTTATTTATATCTGCTGCATAGCGCTGTAGGGTCATTTCTGTAGCTGTTATAAACTGACACATACTTGGAGGTGGTTGAGGAGCATATTGCATTTCATACCTGTAAAGCAAAAGTACAATGACAAAATTCTCCCTTCTCAAGCTCTAGCAAATTGGATTCTGCTCTGTGGGTAGGAAAAATACTCTGCATTTGAACACTTGCCACATCACCTACTCCGTATCAACTCTGAAATACCACAGCAGTTGATGGCTACCCTAATGACACTTTCATAAAGTCCTAGAATGCACCATATTTCATAACTATCTGCAAGAAAAGACGACAATCAGTAGTCCCTGAGGCAAAGAATGAATAGAAGGTAGAAAATAAGAAACAGGTTTCAGTGTAAATGCTTGAATAAAATATAGGTCTTGTAAGCCAAGCAGTAGTAACACTGAAATAGTCTGACTTTAGAGGAAAAAGAAAAAAAATTGGCTTGAATAATAATAAAAAAAAAGCTTTAGTTGACTTAAGTGATTTTTAAATACTAAAAGTTTTTGAAACCCCTAAATATCACTACCCTGAAGCCATAAACATGGTTCTTCATTCTTCAAACTTCTGGAATTACAACTTAATCTTGTCTTGCTTTATAATTAGATAGGTCTTCACAAAAGTATTTATTTTAACTAGAAAATGTAAATTCTGAAGTAGCTTGAAAGTTAAGTTCTTCAAACAATCCATTTTTCTGTCAACTTACTTCCTAAAGATATCCTGACAACGCTCTATCGTCATGTTACAGATGAGTTCTTCCATCCAGGTTTTCCATTGCTCTATTCGGTGCTTCTGAAACACAGCTTTTGGATACTGAAGAGCTACTGTTGCATAGTTGTGCAACTGTTCCAGACAACCACGTAAAACAGATCTCCTCTGCTGGAGAAGAGCACCAACTTCTCCTTCCAGTTGTTCACACTGACTGATTAAATGTGCCTGGCCTGCATTTTGCAGAAATGCTGTTGCTGGTACGTAACTTGGAGGACCTTTTAAGAAAGATGGTTAAAAATTATGCTTTACTCATCTCTGAAGCACACACATTTTATAGCATGCAGGTACTGAACGTGTTAACATCTTCTCAAAAATATTCTTTTACTTGTGATAAAGGAGGCATGGAGAATTCTCACTGAGAATTTTGAGCACAAGATAAGAGAATACTTTTGTGCCCAGCTAGGGTAAAACAGACAAGTTGCTTCAGACAACTTGGCACAGAAACCTTGAAATGCTCTAAATCACCCTTTGAAGAACTTCCTTTCTTTTCAATTTATTATACACAGGGCATTGCCTTCAAGTCAGAGAATACTTATAATGCCTCCTGATATTAAACTCTAGTTATTTTCAAACCACTTAAAAAAAAAGAGCACAAATATTGTTTTATACCTAGGTCCATTTGTGTGCTAATTTCTTGAAGAAGACTTGCAAGCTGCGTTGCCTCTAAATTACTGAAAGCAGTTTGGTAATGTGTTATCCACTGCTCAAACTCATTCAGCTTCACCTGGATCGCTTCTTGGACAGCTCTTTGTTGAGACTGCAACTGTGTGTGCTCAGAATACCTGAATTATTGAAGCCACAGAACCAATTAAGTACTAAAAGAAAAAAGTACTTAACTATATTGAATACAAAACCATATTGAACAATAAACTACCTTGTTGAGAAGAAAATTAACATTCTTACCAATTACATAAAACTTCAACAATGTTGTGTTAATTGTTTTCCTATAAAACATTTAATACATATGCATATTCATGCAATTCTGAAATCTTTTATCAACTTCAAATAAACTTGAAAAGTAAGTTAAGGAATTAGAAACTTAGATGAAAAGATTTTTATACTATTTATCAATAGCTGCATTACATGGATTAATTTGATGGGACACCACATACAGCACATTTTGTCTCTTGCCTTGAGGATCAAATCAGAACATGGACTAGCACAGGTTATATTGATGGAGTACGAGGCATAGGACAAATAAGATTATGCAGTAAGAAAATTGTTTCAAATAGTTCTTCTATACAAGGACTTTCTTACTGTAAGAATAGCTTTTACCCAGCCGTTAATCTCTCTCATATACACATTTCTAACATTTAACTCGTAAGTACGTTACTAAACCACCAACTGTACTGAACTGCGAGATTCCTGACAGAATTCCTGGCTCCTCTGTACCTGTGCTGAAGCGTGTGGGAGGGGTGATCCGCTCCTTCTGCACCTTCCAGAAATTCTATCTCCTCCAGTAGTTTTCCTTGCAGCTTTTCTACATCTGTCAACTGCTCTTGCAGGTTCAGATACTCTTCTAAACTACTGTCCAATTTTGGCAGCACAGCAAGCATTTCGTCTCTGTTCTTAAACCAGTTAACCTACAACCAAGACAGACATTATAGAACCGGATTTAATTCAAACAGGTAAGAGAAAGTAATATATGGCAGCACTTAATCCTTCAATGATGTTCATCTAGGACTACCTCCAGTGCTAAAAGTGCTAAAGCTTAACGGATATTCTTTATATAGGCTTCTCTCTAGACCTCTGTATTTATTCCTCTAGCCCAGATTCAGGCAAAACATTAAAACCTTTTAGAATTAAGCACACAGAAAATGAAAACTAAATACTTGCAAGTTGCATGTAAGCACTTCCCTCCATACAAACTCTATTTAACTCAATAATATTTGTCAACTATTTCTAATAAATTACCACCTCCTCCACTACCCCCAAAATGCACACAAGTGAAGTGAAAGCATAGGACCTACTTTGGTTATAAAACAGAAAATCATTATGGTGAACTCACCTTTATCTCAGCCACTCTTGAAGAAAAGAGACTACGTGTAATATCTCTTTCCATTTCTCTCTTGCTTTGTTTGTTTTCAGCCTGCTGGCCACCACCACCATAGACAGCTCCAGCAAATCCTGCTTCGCCTCCTGCTGTCCAGTCCACCAGAGGATCATACACAAAAGCTTCAAGCAATGTAAGCAAAGTCTCTCTCCCACGCCGCATAATATGAAGGACCTGCATCATATTTTAAACACTCATTCTGATCTAGCATTATCCTTGTAGAACAGTGTAATTTTAGATGCAAAATACTGTATTTGAGTAGCTACAGAAAACTAACTTACCCCTAACCACCAGAAACACAGGAAGAACACCACAGTATGTACAAATGCAGCTAGCCTGTAGTAACATCACTAAAACTAATGGTTGCATTCTAGCCTTCCACACAAGCTCCGTAATCTAACAGCAGCCACATGAGGAAGAAACCTCTCCTTCATTCAGAGCATTTCTTGTTTTAAAAGCATGTCTGTCATGTATAAAGGACAAGTCCTGAAGAAGGAGGGTAAGAAAAACCTCACAAGAAGTACTTCAGGAAAAAGGTAACATTTCACATCTATACCTACGAGTGTCCCCCCCTCAAACTGTAGCTGTACTACTTGCATATGCCTTTATCTGACTTTTGTATTTCTTAAATATGTACTATAGGATGTATTTAAAATAAGTCCAATTAAAATCACACCAGAAAGAGTAAAGGCTTTGTAAACCAACAGTAGAATGTTTAGAATAAAGGTTCTAAGACAGTATTTAGTAAATGATAGCCCTCAGTTTTCTACAAGTTTCCTAGCTTACCTGTTCACAAGAAAGCCTAAAAACCCCTTCTACTCCTGTCACTCCAAGTGCTGTTTCAATATTGTGCGTCATCCGGAACGGAACCTTCTCTGGTACCCTAAGGCTTTTCCCTTTAAGATAAAAATTTAAGTTGTTTCTTTTAATCGCCAAGAAGGAAAACCTTTTATTTGAATAACATATAGCATTTTTTAAATTACCTTTTTCAAAGCAAACATTATAATCTATGTGGACAACTTCTCCTGTAGTCATATCTATAAGAACATTATCCAGATGTCTGTCTCCAAGACCAATGATGTAGCCAACCATGGACATAACTGCAGTGGATCTTGCATACGACTTTAAAGAGAGTTTCAGGAAAAAATTATTTGTGGGAATCCTCTGCCAACACACTGGACTGACTACCATCTTAAAACATTATTTTAAGCAAAACCAACTTATTCCAAGCTGTATTCTATTTGTCGTCTCATGATATCTTACAAGAGTTTTCATTGTTTAGGCTGATAATTCTAGTTTAATAATGAAGAGTTATTAGGTGTATACCCATTTTTTTATTCCACATGGTACAACTGCATCATTTCCTGCCAAATGTTAACATTTCCTGTTACGTGAAACTTCAGCAGTCCTAGCTCACCTAACTCAAGAGTATCATTGCCTGAACACATCCCAGGCATTTGTTGCCCCTCATCCCATTGAAAACATAACCTTTCAAAGGGAAAATATATTGTTACAACTCACCTGTGTAACTCTCCACCATTCATCTGGTGTAGTACATGATGACCAGAGCTCCTTGGCTAGGAGATTTGGGGGAGTTGCTTCCATCAGTTCTTCCAGAACAGCCCTCATGACATTCAAGGGCCAGTCACGACGTGACACATCAAGACTAAGCCCAACTGCCTTTAAAGCGGGTCCAATTTTACTGTAGTAAAGTTCACTGGGTCTAGGTACTATTCCAGGATTCTGAGGAGTCTGGTAAGAATCCTGAGCCTAGAAGAGGTAAAAATGCTGGTTTACATATTGCAACTCTCATTACCACAGAAAAGTATCCCAAATTCAGTTTTGGTGACAATAATATGAAATACACTCCTCTACTGAGGATGACTTTTACAGCTCAGAGAATTCTTTCAAAATTCAATGGTTAAGAAAACCTAAAGAAACTGAAACCACATTGCTTTAGCCTAACTCTACTCTTATCAAGGTCAATTAAAAAACCTCTGTATTTAAAATGAAATCAGAATGAGAGAACAAGATGTGGAACTAAAAGGTTAACTATTTGTTCACGAACAGTTCTCCTTGAATTATCATGCCAGAACAGTGTATACATTACAGTGTGTAACAAATATAAACACCTATATGCAATTTCATTGACATCTGGTGAAATCCCAAGACCTAATGAATACACAGAACCATTCTGCATGATTATGAACAAAATACAATCCCTTTAAGACTATGTTATTGAAAACCAGAAAACAAATCAGAATAAGTGCTTCCCTTCTGAATTGTCCTAGCTGGCATAAAACATAGTTGTTACCTTTTGTGCTTGTAAAGCAGCTTCTCGCTGTTGCCACCGCTTGTAAAGACCAAACAAAGGTGTAGCTCCATCCACCCACTGGATCAAGCCTGATCTCGTTCCCAGAGGTGTCACAGAGTAGTGCCTCGCGTGGAACCTCGGCGTCTCTTGACGGTTAATGGTAGCAAACATTGTGTTCACAATTGATAAAAATTGCATGATTCTTTCATCTAGATGCAAGTCTTCCAAACCTGCAATAAATTCATTTTGTTTAAAATTTAGTTTCTAGATTTAAAAAAATTGTTCTTTTAAAGCCCAAAATTCAGCTTTTTTTTAAATCCTGCTTCATTTCAGACTATGAACAGCTTTATAAATTATGCAGATTAAGGATGAATTGTTCAGCTTAAACCTAAATGTTTACATAGCATTTACCTACTAGAATCATCAATTTATGACAGCTCTCTGGGAGCAGTGCACACAACAGTTACTAACATAACAAACAGATCTTTCGCTTTCGGGGAAGGCATAAAGTCTCCGAAGTTCTCTTCTGAGCGCTACCTTAAGCTTCTGGAAGAGTGCATCCAGCTAATCCTATCAGTACGCAAGTAGAAAACTGTTTCTGATGTAACCCTTATAAAGAAGGGATCTGAAACACACCTGACTTACAGCTTCACAAAGCAAAAATCCTTGAAAAATGTATGGTGAAGTGGGAGGTGGGGAGGAGCAGATGCTGCAAACAACTCTTTCTCCATACCATGCAGGCAGAGAAAGCAAAAGTTGCAACCACGTGTCTTCTCAACTTTAGTATAGTCTGATTCATAAGAAGAGACAGTAACTTGTATGAGAAAACTTCAATTTCTTACCTTTGAACAGGTAGGGATAGTTCTTCCCATCTGAACCCAGGAAAAGCAGCTTTTTAGGTTTGGTTTTGGTAGGCAGAATTGTGATAGTGCTGCCCACACTGTGAATTGTGACTGTGTCTCTCGTAGATACTTCTCCAGGAAGTGCTATTTCAGTGTTCATCATGGCAGCCAACCAAGGACTGATTTCTTCAAGCCGTAAAAGGTAACTAGCCCGTTTCTGTGCTCTTTGCTGCAAACTTAGCATAACCTATTAGAAAGAAATTGTTTGTTCTAAGTTGAGGTTCACCTTAGCAGCTAGCATTAAAAAATAACAAAAAAAACCCCACAAAAACAGACTTGATGGTAGTCTTCTTCCAGAAAGCATGGACATTTTTCTTAAATTACCTTTCATCCTTACCACCCTACTAATCCATTTACAGCTTAGGATGAAGATGACAAAACCTAAAAGACATCCTTTGTGCAGCAAATATACCTGCCTGGTGATAAGCACTGAAGTCACAACAAATCAAACTCCTCAGAAGGTTTGCTCCTGCATTTATAAATATTTGAGCTGTGGTCAAAAGCAGCAGCATTCAGCCACCTCCTGTTTAGGTATCTGCATGCTTGCTTCTTCTACAAAGCAGAAGGGGAACCACAAAAAAAAAAGTCTATTTGTGTGTAAAACCTAGGTTCTGACTATCAAGACTTTTAAACCACCAGTTTGGCTCTGGATATCCAAGTAAATACGTATTTTTTTTTTCTCCTCAGACCCATACAAATCTAAAAAGACAAGATCACATAATTGAAAAACAGAGTATATTTGGGAAGGGCTGATCATTTGAAGGTTGCTGCCCAGCCTGAGGCCTATCCTTAGATAACCAGAGTGACAACTTGTTAGAATTTAAATCCACTAAACTCGAACGGCATAGTTTCAGAAAGACAGTATTTAAAAAATTAAAGCCCTCTGCCCCGAAAACTGGCAGGTTCTCAGAGAGCAGAAGATGCAAGATTTGAAAAAAAATAAATTTCATTGGGTAGAAATGCAATAATAAGTCAGTTAAGACTTGTTACATAGGCAACAGTTACTTTGCTTTAGTATCTAGCATGCCTGTGGTGATTGCAGAGAAAACAGTTTCAGACTGCAATTTTGATACAGCAAGAGAATAGCGAGAGAATGCTAAGGAAAGGGTCAAACACATGGTGCAGCAAGAGTGTCAAGTGTCTCCACATTATACTCTTAGTCTGTGCATGTAATACCTCTTTAAATGGGAGCCAGCTGCTGCCAGGCTTAGCAGGATTCAAAGGATTCTTAAGTTTCTCTAGAGCATTTTCAATTGCATCTCCATAGTTATCCTGAAACCACTTCTCATGAGGAGTTTCTGCAGGAGCTGCCGTGATGCTCCGTACATGTTCCAAAGCAAATACAATGGGCTTCATTAGAGCTGTGTGCTTTTCACGCATGATTGCTATCTTCTCTTCTCTAAAAAAAAAAAAATTTTTTTCTTAACTCCATAAAACCAAGTTACTTCATAAACAGAGCATTAAAATAAGACTGCAAATGAGGCATCTAAGAATTCACAAAAATGGTTACGTCTCTAAAATGAGGTCTTTAATGATGACTGTATTAAAAGGAAGGAGTATTTCATTTCCACATTGAATGCATGTTCCTCTGAAGCACACTTTTTTTTTTTTTTAACTGGATCATTTGAACTGGGCTCTTCACCACTGGAAACCCTGAGAAGCTCAGAGGGCTCAAACCACCCTATGCAACTATTTCCTTTTATTAAAGAGCTCCTAACTACTACTTCCTGAGGGTCGACCACACTACAAAGAGGAGGAAGAGCGCGATTCAGATCATGCTGTTCTCCCACTCTATGTCAGCCCTGCCTACAGAATTCATGAGTGTTCTTAGGCTTAGCCGGGTTCCCAGTGAATAGCTTTCCTCTTACACAAATCTGTTCACAGGAGAACCCAGGAGAGAGAAAGACGTGCTGAGCACTGAAAACCAAAAGCAGATAAGACATTTTGTTTACTCCAAATAGATTACATCCTTCAACATCCTTGTTCTCATTTCAGCTGACTTATAAGAAAGACCTTTGAATTAAGAACTATAGGATCTCATAACCCACAATTTAATATGCACTAGGTTCTAACACACTATTACTAAGGAAATCCCAACATGGATTCACAGGTAGGCTGCTGTTGTTTCCCATGTGATTACAGTACTAGCTGTAGCATCAAAATGTTCTTGAATAAGGGCACTGGTTTACAAAGGAGCAGCTAGGATAGTACACATTCAGAAGCAACACAACTGTTGATCATATTGACTGTATGCTTCCTCAAGAACAAACATTTTTGAATAATTCAAGTGATAATTTTAACAAAAGACACACTTCCGTAAAGTGTTGTTGTTTTGGACCCTCTTGACTTCATCTTCCAGTTGTTGAATCCTTCTGAGGACATACATGTGCTGCTGCAGTAAAACTCCCAACCAAAGTTCATCCCAAAGAACTGTAACTCTGCGCAGCTCTGCCACTAGCATCTGAACCTGTATAAAATAAATTAAGATTACCTTACTTTTAAGACTACTAGTATTAAGACTTATTCTTGTGGATGAACAACTACAAAAAAGATGACAGCCTAACAGCAAAGATACACCAAACTTTCAGTAGGCCTAACCATAAGATATACAACTGTGTATTTTGTAGTTCAAATAAAAGCAAGTAACATACATTTGGATTATTTACCTGCAATACCATTGTTGGATTTGCAGCAGAGAGTTTCTCCACAATTTTGCTGTAACAATCTTGCATCATTGCTTGATCTTCATTTAATCCAACTTTTGTGTCATCTTTACTACTTTCTTGTGAAGTTGGGGGGCTCCCTCCATCACATTCACCACCCAACAGTTCTTCTCCTTGAATATTACCTAGCAAAGTAGGGATGGCAGAAGGCAGCTTGTTCCCTAAATTAAACACAGATGTTAAAATACCATCTACACAGTTCTGTCCTTAAAAGATACATCACTCAATACTTCATTTAGCACCAGGTCCCCATATTACATTAAGTACTGGCCAAGTATCCAATGCTAAAACTGAAAAAACTTATTTGCCAAAGTGGTAAATCAAATGAAAGGTATCAGTGAGGTCCCATAATAAAAACTTTCTTAAGATAGAAAGTATTGTA